ATATATATATATATATCATTTGTTTAGGCCAGGGCAGTAGCTTCACGCCTGTAATCCTAGCACTTTCAAAGACTGAGGCGGGAGGATCGCTTGAGCCCAGGAGCTAGAGACCTCGACAACAGCAAGACCCCGTTTCTATCCATAAAAACAAAAACTTAGTCAGGCTTAGTGGAACACACATATAGTCCTAGATACTCAGAAAGCTGAGGAAGGAAGATTGCTGAAGCCCAGGAGTTCGAGGTTGCAGTGAGCTACAACCATCCCACTGCAATCTTTTTAGCCCCAGTAACAGAGCGAGATCATGTCTCCAAACAAAAGGAAGAGCAAAATCATCTGTTTAGATTCAACAGTGTCAGTGTCCTTTCAGGCAAAGAAAAGCATCTTGGGTATTTAATTCTCATACAGTTGTAGCATACATGACTTAAACAGACAAGGTTTTCTCAAATAAAATTTCTAACTATCCAGTAACAATCAAGAGTAAGACTATTGTTCAGGTGTGGTGGCTCATGCCTGTAATCCTAGCATTTTGGGAGGCCAAGGCCGGAGGATTGCTTGAGGCCAGGAGTTTGAGACCAGCCTGAGTAACATAGTGAGACCCCAACTCTACAAAAAATTTAAAAAATTAGCTGACTGAAGTGGGAGGACCACTTGTGCCCAAGAGTATAAAGGGACTGCAGTGAGCTATAATGTCACTGGGACTGCAGTGAGCTATAATGTCACTGCAGTCCAGTGCACGCAACAGAGTGGAACTCTTATCTTAAAAAAAAATAAACAGGTAGGGCGCGGTGGCCCACGCCTGTAATCCTAGCACTCTGGGAGGCCGAGGCAGGCAGATTGCTCGAGGTCGGGAGTTCAAAACCAGCCTGAGCAAGAGCAAGACCCCATCTCTACTAAAAATAGAAAGAAATAAATTGGCAAACTAATATATATAGAAAAAATTAGCCGGGCATGGTGGAGCATGCCTATAGTCCCAGCTACTCGAGAGGTTGAGGCAGTAGGATCGCTGGAGCCCAGGAGTTTGAGGTTGCTGTGAGCTAGGATGCCGCCACGGCACTCACTCTAGCCAGGGCAACAAAGTGAGACTCTGCCTCAAAAATAAATAAATAAAATAAAATAAGATAAATTAAATTAAATTAATAAAATAAAATACTATTGATTCTCCCTTAATGTGAAATTATGTGATAGCTGGGGGTATCCCAGACCCATAAGTATCAGAAAGAGTTTAAGACAGCAATGATGTCTATCATCCATGTAAGGTCAGACTCAAGTGGCAGTCTTTCTTCCACAGGCTACGACTATCAAGAATTAGAGGCCGGCACGGTGGCTCATGCCTGTAATCCTAGCACTCTAGGAGGCCGAGGTGGGCAGATTGCTTGAGGTTAGGAGTTTGAAACCAGCCTGAGCAAGAGCAAGACTCTGTCTCTACTAAATATAGAACAAAAATTAATTGGCCAACTAAAAATACATAGAAAAAATTAGCTGGGCATGGTGGCACATGCCTGTAGTCCCAGCTACTTGGGAGGCTGAGGCAGGAGGATCGCTTGAGCCCAGGAGTTTGAGGCTGTTGTGAGCTAGGCTGACTCCACAGCACTCTAGCCAGGGCAACAGAGTGAGACTGTCTCAAAAAAAAAAAAAAAAAAAAGAATTAGAATTGCACTTAGTCCTTTAACCGGTAAACCTAACAAACCCATTTTCCCTGGGATTGTATAATATGGGAATACGAAGGCAAAATCTACAAATATTGTCTGTGACTACCATATATTATTATAACAAATAAGGTACTGGGAATTGTAAAGAAAACAAGTAAGCCATACTCTCAAGGTCCTTTAATGTAAAAGCTATGTTAAAAACACATGGAGTATAGGCCGGGCGCTGTGGCTCACGCCTGTAATCCTAGCTCTTGGGAGGCCGAGGCGGGCGGATTGCTCAAGGTCAGGAGTTCAAAACCAGCCTGAGCAAGAGCGAGACCCCGTCTCTACTATAAATAGAAATTAATTGGCCAACTGATATATATATATAAAAAAAAATTAGCCGGGCATGGTGGCGCATGCCTGTAGTCCCAGCTACTGGAGGCTGAGGCAGAAGGATCACTCAAGCCCAGGAGTTTGAGGTTGCTGTGACGTAGGCTGACGCCACGGCACTCACTCTAGCCTGACAACAAAGGAGACTTGTCTCAAAAAAAAAAAAAAAAAAAAAAACACATGGAGTAGGCCGGGCGTGGTGGCTCACACCTGTAATTCTAGCACTCTAGGGGGCCGAGGCGGGCGGATGCTCAAGGTTAGGAGTTCGAAACCAGCCTGAGCAAACCAGCCTGAGCGAGAGAGACCACGTCTCTACTATAAATAGAAACAAATTAATTGGCCAACTATATATATAGAAAAAAAATTAGCCGGGCAAGGTGGCGCATGCCTGTAGTCCCAGCTACTCTGGGAGGCTGAGGCACCAGGATTGCTTGAGCCCAGGACCCAGGAGTTTGAGGTTGCTGTGAGCGAGGCTGACGCCACGGCACTCACTCTAGCCTGGGCAACAAAGCAAGACTCTGTCTCAAAAAAAAAAAAAAGAAAAACTAAAACAAAAACACATGGAGTATTTTAAGTGACATGAAAGAAAAGACAACTAACTTGAGGAAACCATATGACTGCAAAACAAAACAAGTAGCATCTGCTATGCTTGTGTGACTCCTTAGCTCACGCCTACCACACCACCAAATGAACAGCAAGACCATCAGTTCCAAAACTGGCATCAGATTCCAAAGTGGGCATCTGAGCTATAATAGAAAGTTCCAAAGTATGATCACTCCTCAGCACCAGTCAATCTTCCACTGTTTGTTTCCCTATGCTACCCACACACCTGGCCATGACTAGATACAAATACCCACAAATAACAATTGACATTTTTAACATCCTAAAGTGGAGGAAAATCAGCACTAAGGACTCTGCCTACTACACTTTATATCTTAAGGAGGTAATGCCAAATATCCAGTATTTCTTTGGAAACTCTCTCCCCGAAGATTCTATGAATATTGATCATAGCATTTTCAGATATTCAACAATTGCTATGGATGATTCACAATACCCTAGCTGACTAGGGTATTTAGAAAAACCCCATTCATTCATTCATTCATTCATTCATTTATTTATTTGAGACAGAGTCTTGGCTTTGTTGCCTTGGCTTGAGTGAGTGGCTTGAGTGAGTGCCATGGCATCATGCCTAGCTCACAGCAACCTCAAACTCCTGGGCTAAAGCAATCCTTCTGCCTCAGCCTCCCAAGTAGCTGGGACTACAGGCACGCACCACCATGCCCGTCTAATTTTTTCTATATATATATATATATTAGTTGGCCAATTAATTTCTATTTATAGTAGAGATGGGGTCTTGCTCTTGCTCAGGTTGGTTTCAAACTCCTGACCTCGAGCAATCCGCCCGCCTCAGCCTCCCAGAGTGCTAGGATTACAGGCATGAGCCACGGCCCAGCCTAGAAAAAATCCCTTTTAAAATGAGGAGAAATAGGCCCAGGCGAGGTGGCTCACGCCTGTAATACTAGCACTCTGATAGGCCGATCCGGGTGGATTGCTCGAGGTCAGGAGTTCAAAACCAGCCTGAGCTAGAACGAGACCCCGTCTCTACTAAAAATAGAAAGAAATTAATTAGACAACTAATATATATAGAAAAAATTAGCCGGGCATGGTGGCGCATGCCTGTAGTCTTAGCTACCCAGGAGGCTGAGGCAGCAGGATTGCCTGAACCCAGGAGTTTGAGGTTGCTGTGAGCTAGGCTGACGCCACGGCACTCTACCCCAGGCAAAGAGTGAGATTCTGTCTCAAAGAAAAAAAAAAATGAGGAGAAATAACAACACTTACTACTTTTAATGATTCTTTAGAAACTTCCATCAACCTGCTGATGTTTTTAACAGGTTTCTACCATGACCATCCTAATCCCTCTATCCTGTATTTTCTTGTCAAATGAGTAAACTTTTCCTTTATATCATCTCAAGAATCCTCATTACCCTTCTCCATGATTTTAGGTAGCCTCGAAATCCTACTTTAGTGCCTTATATTAATATCTACCTTCTTGAAAAAAATTGATCCTTGATTCTGTTTTACTAAATGTGGAAAAATTTATCTACTTACCCTTTACTTAAAACTTAAAAAGAGATACTGGTCTCTCTATATAAGCATCCAAGCATAACATTCTGCTGCTGTCTTGGCCTATTCCTAGACATTTCGATATGGTTCATCTTTACAAAGTATAATGCTTCTTTCCTCATATTTTTCATTCAACTTTGTTTTTGCTCCATTTTTCCATTTTTTTTTTTACACTTAAGTATTAGCATTTTATTTGCAGCACTTATGTTCATCCTTGAATTTAAAAAGCCTACTACAATCTAGGGGGTTCCTTTTAAATATGTTTACCTACTTGTAATGGAGAAAGCTGACAGGAACCAGAGTACCACTGTTTATTTACTTACATAATATACCTCCCACAGCAGACCTATTTGGCTTAGCACTCTTCAAAGTTCCAGCACAATCTCGCAGAGCACTCTAGGGTTTCACTGATCCACACCTAATGGTGCTCCGAAACACCTATGCTTCCTATCCTGTCTCATGAATCCATGAAAGTCTGCAAATTCTCCCACAAGTGATCTTTACCCAAATCAGCATTTTACTTTACAGGAACGTAGGCAGCATCTGGTAGTGAAAAGCACAATAATATTTGACTTAACCAAAACTGCATGAAAACTAAAAAGTGATTTCATCATTCTGCTTTGCAATGTAGTTTCCAGAAATCAACTGTGATAAAAAGCAGGGAATAACTGTTAACATTTTACTAACTCCTAAAAGGCTAAAAGGTGGGTTTAACAGTTTATTATGATTTATAAGTATCATTTTAAAAACATCAGTCTATTTAAACCGTGTAGAAATGAGTATGCAAAAAGTCTGCAAAACAAAACATACTTTAAACATGTTTAAGTAAATAGATTATCTGAAATTCCAGATTGTTCAATCACTTCATTATTATGCTATGGCAGCCAAGTAATCCTTAACTTCGCTTGGAGTAAGCCTCCTAAATCCAGCTTCATGCAGATTCCAACTTCTATGTTATCCTCTGTCATTTGCCCTTCAAAGCTTTCCTTTAGGGTTAAGATGGCTGTATGAATGGCATCTTCAAGTTCCAGATCTTCATTATATCTTTTCTCAAGGAAAGTTTTCCCATTCACATAGTTCTTTCCCATTGCTGTGGCTTTCAAGGCAAAGTAAGCTCCAGATGGATCTGACTGAAATAAATATGGTCGTCCCAGGCCGGGCGCAGTGGCTCACGCCTGTAATCCTAGCACTTTGGGAGGCTGAGGCTCAAGGTCAGAAGTTCGAAACCAGCCTGAGCGAGACCCCGTCTCTACCAAAAATAGAAATAAATTAATTGACCAACTAAAAATATATATACAAAAAATTAGCCGGGCATGGTGGCTCATGCCTGTAGTCCCAGCTACTCGGGAGGCTGAGGCAGTAGGATCGCTGAGCCCCGGAGATTGAGGTTGCTGTGAGCCAGGCTGATACCACGGCACTCACTCTAGCCTGGGCAACAAAGTGAGACTCTGTCTCAAAAAAAAAAAAAAAAAAAAAAAAAAATATGGTCGTCCCTCATTCCAACCACAAATAAGTAAAGAAACTCCAAATGAACTAACACCACCTGATTGGTTATATTCCTGTATCACAGAAGCTACTCTCTGCACCAGCTGAGCTCTGGGAATGGGTTCTTGGTAAACAAGATAGTATTGCTGAGCGAGTTTTCGAGCTCTGTGCACAAGCACTCTGTAATCTGGGCCCATGCTACTGTATACCAAACCTATATGCTTGGTAATTCGTTCCACTTTGTGTACACTTCGCTCATCATACAGAATGGATTTCTGTTTCTTCTCAGTTGCTAATACCACACCATTTGCAGCTTTAATTCCCACTGAAGGGGCTCCTCCAGCTACAGCAGCCAACGCATATTCAATCTGAACACGTTTACCTGATGGGCTGAATGTAGTCAGCGAAAAGCTGTACCCGCGCTCCGCCATCTTTACCTGGAGAGCCCATTTTTCCATTTTAATTCTTTTAACACTAATATCTACAGAGAGGACTAGAGCTTAAAGATTGAGAATGAGAGATGTGGACTCAAAATGCATTAGTCTTGAGAATTCACTAAACCAAGGACCAAGTGCTTCATGAATATGATGGCCTATTGTGGGTTTTTCCGAAGGTTAAATAAGATATATATGGTTAAGAGCTTAGCCTAGTGCTCATGTTTAATATGTAAGTAAGCGATCGATAAATGTCAGTTATACTTACAATTTTTAAAAAATCTATCATGTACCATGTACTAGAGCTAGAATTGGGCAATCTGACTCCAGATCTCATACTCTTATTTCATGACATGCTCTTTTATCCTGTAGATGATCCCCACACCTTCAACCCCTCTTTCTAAACTCTGTATCCTTTCCAGGATGTCACCACCCACTCAACAGGCTTGATATTAACACAGTCTACAAGTCACTTCCTCGATGAAGCTATTCCTATTGTCCTTTGCATTTTTTTCAAATAACCTTTTTTTTTTTAAAGTTAATATACACAATATAGGAAAATGTATTTTTTGGGGGCACCTAGGAATTACATTTATTGGGTATTGGGCGGGGGGGGGATGGGTACATACATACATAATGAGTGAGATGTGCACAGTCTGGCGGATGGTCACGCTTGAAGCTCAGACTTGAAGGGGGAGGGGGCAAGGGCATTATACATAACCTTAAAATCTGTACCCCCATAATATTCTGAAATAAAAAAATGTTTTTAATGTAGAAAAGACTAACAGACCATTAAGCTGAGTACAGAAGCCCTGCAGGTCCCATTCTTCTAAGAGACAAAGATAAGATCCTCACAATGGTTTACAAGGTTCTCATGATCTATGTCTCCCACCCTCCTTCCCTCCTCAATACCTCTCCTAGTTCAGCTCTCTACCCAGAGAGTCAGCTTTATGAAGACAGGGGACTGAGATGCCCACAGTACCTAAAACAGCACCTAGAAAACAGTAATGATATGCAGAAAGATTCTCTAAAGCAACACATGAACCACTGATGTATTATTCCCCATTTGGTAAAGATGAAGGTGAGAGGATAAAAGTATAATGCAGAGTGTCCTACACGAAGTTACTACTCAATAACTATTTGTCTAGCTCCCTCTCCTCTTTCACTGTTCAGAATATAATACCAGTAGTTAATACTTAATGTTCTCTTACTCTATGCCAGGCTCAAGGTTAAACATTTTATAAGAATGGTCTCACTGACTTTTTTGAACTCTGTGAAGTAGGAACTACTATATTCTCATTTTTTACAGGAGGACTGGAAAGGTTAACTTTTTCCCAATGTAATACGGTCAGTAAACAGTCAAACAAGGATACAAATGAGATTTACCTAACACCATAATCTCACATTCTGCCATGACATTATATGACAAGTAGCCAAAGAAAACTCAACTGCACTCTTCAAGCTTGACTCACACCTTGGTTAACCCTTTGCACTCGGCTGCTTTCTTCTGGATTCCTTTAATCCACTCGGGATTTAATTTTTTAAATACCCCAGATTTTACAAAGCACGGCAGTAGAATAAAAAACTGGAGTCGCTTTTCAAACAAACTTATTTATTTGGATTTTTTAATGTTTCAAATTATTGATACATTCAAAGAGTAATTTTAATCTCTATAATTTTCATGGTGTGATATTTTTTTAAACATTCACCCACATGAAGACCTGGTTTACATTCACACCTTTTCGCAAATATAAATCGTCTCTCTTCCTCCTTTGATTTTTCTGTTAGAACAAACAACACAATCTTTGTGTTTTTTGTTAGGGTGAGGTGTGATTATATGGAGCTTTCCGTCTAAACGTTGCTCTAAGTTAGTGGATAATAATCTACCCCTGGACGTTAGTGTACCATCTCTGCATTTACATTTTACTTGTCCTTTCATGCTAATGAAAATAAGAAAAGATACTGGGGCTGGGCAAGGTGGCTCACGCCTGTAATCCTAGCACTCTGGGAGGCCAAGGCAGGCAGATTGGTCAAGATCAGAAGTTGGAAACCAGCCTGAGCAAGAGCTAGACCCCGTCTCTACTATAAACAGAAAGAAATTAATTGGCCAACTAATATATAGAAAAAATTAGCTGGGCATGGTGGCACATGCCTGTAGTCCCAGTTACTCGGGAGGCTGAGGCAGCAGGATCGCTTGAGCCCAGGAGTTTGAGGTTGCTGTGAGCTAGGCTGACGCCATGGCACTCACTCTAGCCTAGGCAACAAAGCGAGACTCTTGTCTCAAAAAAAAAAAAAGTAGGCTAAATAAATAGCCCAGCTAACTTGATGAGTTTCTCTAAGCCCTCCTCTTAAGACTTCATCCTTGACTATAAAAAATTGACGTGAAAGTCTTCATAATATATAAAATGAATTTATAATCTGTCATTGATTATTCAATTACAAGAAGCAATAATATGAAATTATATTTACACATATTATATTGCATATAGCACATTTCTTTTTTTGAGACAGAGTCTTACTTTGTTGCCCAGGCTAGAGTGAGTGCCGTGGCATCAGCCTAGTTCACAGCAACCTCAAACTCCTGGGCTCAAGCGATCCTGCTGCCTCAGCCTCCCGAGTAACTGGGACTACAGGCATGTGCCACCATGCCCAGCTAATTTTTTCTATATATTAGTTGGCCAATTAATTTCTTTCTATTTTTAGTAGAGACGGCGTCTCGCTCTAGCTCAGGCTGCTTTTGAACTCCTGCCCTCAAGCAATTCGCCTGCCTTGGCCTCCCAAGGTGTTAGGATTACAGGAGTGAGCCACCATGCCAGGCCGGATATAGCACATTTTTTTAATCCTAAAACTAACCCTATTTCATGGGCATCATTATACTATAACCTCATTGGACAGATTAGAACATGTGCCCAAAGCCACACAGTAAGCGGCAGAGTCCTTAAGAAATTACAAAAACTGAATTTTTGCAATTGATTTTCACAGACATTAATATAACTCAAGAAGTTAATTCAGTGTAACCCCAATGCCTAAGATCTTCACTATAGTATTAAACTATAAAGTGCTATATAACTGTTATGATTTATTAACACCTTTTCTTATACCATTATTCCACATGGAAATTTCTTCTCTGGAATGCCTTCATAAGAACTTTAAGTTCCTATCTACAGAAGCCCTCCTTACAATCATTTATTTAAGGAACTGAGTTGATCATCGCACTCACAAATACCTGAGAACAAAGCCCAAAATGACTTTGGCATAACAACCCAATATTCCCCAAGTGTCAGTCTGACCAATTTGGCTGAGTAGAGAAGCCCTTAGCTGTGAAGTAATATGCAGTTCTGATAGAGCATTCAAATGGACTGTCTAACACCAAGGGTTGGCAATCTTCCCAAAGTGATGTGCCAAGCTTGTGACCTCTTCCTGGGCAGAGGGGAAGGTTGCAGGCTCTTCTCTTTTTGCTCTTGTTCTCAGCTGCCAAGGGTGCATGCCTGTCAGCTGCCAACTCAACTTCTGGTAGAAACTAGGGTTGGAAACCATCTCTGTAAAGCATATTATGCATCCTTGCCGCTGGTCTCCAGGCTACTCGGGAGGTCTCTGCTTCCAGTTCTCCTTTGCAACCTCCTCTCGTAGAGTCTCCGTGGTCTCAGGTACCCCTCCTTCCGACCCTTGTCCAATGTATGCTTGTCTGCTTGCTTCCTTCTTCTAATTTCTCCTAGAATCTGTCTTTTCTGCAGAGACACTCTGACGGTGTTTCTCGTCCGCCATCTTGCTCCGTTCTGTCCTTTGTATTCTAATACATCCTATGCACAATGCTATTACAGCCCCATAACAAAATGATCTTATTGGTAAGACATTTCATTAGATGCCTAGAGGACAACGGCTATGTTTTTTAAAAAATTTTTCCTATGTAGCCCTAGTGGCTATTAGAATGTGTGGCTTTCTAAAGCAAACTAGTCAATAAATTAATACATACTATGACTAAGGACTAATATGTATTATGTGACTTTTTCATTACTATGCAAGGATAAGATTAAAATGTTTCCTAAAGTAATTGCAATTAAGGAATTAAGCAAAGGGTCCAGTAAAACAAAAAACAAGTATTTTAGAATAGAATTAATTACAGCTTTAAAAATGGCATCTATAGATAAGAGGGACCTTTGTCCCTAGCAACGGTATATTGATCTAACCTACAAAGAATTCTTTCCTAAATCTCCTTTTTTATTCAGTATTCCCCTTCCCTAACTTCTTGTGAGGAAGGAGTAGTTTAGATGTTCCAAGTAATTTCCACTGTCAGGAAAACAGATTACCAACTGACAAACTGGAAGAATTCTATTAGAGCTGACAGCCTCCCACTGGTTCTTCAGCACAATAAAAGGAGACACATGTGTCTCCCCTTTTATAAAGAGTAACTCTTTCATAAAGATAACAAAAGAACTACACCTCGAAGTATATCACTTAGAGAATTACTTACATAAGAGCTTACTCATTATTCACAAAGAAACTGCTTCCTTAATAAATGATACAGATCATAGGGCTGAAGGGAATTATCTCTATTCAAAATCTGAGAAATAATTTGAAGTGGTTATTAAACAAATTAAAGCAGGGCTGGCTGGATTTATCTGCAAATGAAGATAAAAGTCAAATAAATCTGTTAATAGAGAAAGAATCAAGAATTTAGCCAGTCCAATGGTAGTGGGTTATCAGAATGTAATGTCACTGAAGTTGGCATAACACCCCCCCAATACTGCTAAATTTGACTAACTTAATAAAAAAAAAAATCATTCTGCCTTTCCAACTATTGATGAGTAAAGTTTCTCTATATAAAAGTATTCCAGCTAATATAAATGAAAAAGGAAGGACAGAATGGCACTCTTTAACAAGAAATAATCTATATAACAATAAGGATCCATATACAGTAGAATAGATAGATCTACATTCTTATTTTCAAACTTAGAATACTGCAGTTTTGTAAGCTGTACTGAAATGATTACTCAAGGGACTAAACATCAATG